AGGCTGAGATTGCAGTGAGCCATGATCGTGCCACTGCACTCCAGCCTGAGTGACAGAGCAAGATCCTATTTCAAAAAAATAAAAATGACAGCCAAAATAAAGAATTCAACAGAGGACTTAGAAGATAAAATGCAAGAAATCTTTTTAAAAAGTAGAACAGAAAAGGACATATGAAATGATGATAAATAATAAGGAAAGGAGGATATGAGAGTGGTTTGGCTGTGACACCTGCCAACACATTGATTATCAGGGTTGATTCGGTTGATCTGGCTGAATAGACGGGTGTCCCCTGCCTCCCTCACCGCTCCATCTGTGTCCCTCCTGAAGCTGCACACTTGGTCAAAGAGGACAACCTTCTCTGATAGAGGAGGATCATTCTTTGGTCAAAGGCATACAAAAAGTTGCCAGTACCTCCAAACAAGAATAAGAACAGGAGAGATCAATGAAAGGGAGAAAGAAAAAAATGGCAAGGAGAAAAAAGAAATTAAAGTTTAAAAACAGACCTGTAAAATACAGCCTCCAGTGAGAAAGAGCTCACCACGTGCCTAGCAAAAAATCAAAATGATCCATCTCAAAACACATCATAGTGAAATTCTGAAATACTAGTAATAAAAGGAAGCTCCCAGGAAGGAAAAATACATCTCCTACAAAGCATTGGCAAAAAGAAAAGCCAGACTTCCAACAAGAGCATTAGAAATTAGATGACAATGGGGCAAAAACTTCAAAACTCTGAGTAAAAATGACTCATCCAAAATTTCAGCCAAATTGGCAATCAAATGTAACAGTGTGTATGTGTGTGTATATCTCTATATATAATATTTATCAATATATATAATAAAAAAGTCTCCCAAAAAAACAAAGTTACAGCCTATACAGCCTTTTTGTAGCTACTGGAGGATGTGCTCCATCAAAATGAGGGAGTAAATCAAAAAAGAGGACTCCACAGAGTCCAAAAAACAAAGGATAAATACAGAGAGAGGCAAAGGAATTCTCAGGATGACAGCCGGGCAGCCAGTCCAGAAACATTGTGTCCAGATGAGAGTAGGGGGACTGTGGGCCCTGCATAGATGACTCCAAGGAGTGGGCAAATGGAACCATGAGCTTATCAAATAGGTGGAAGGTCATGTTGAGATATTTTTTGAGCTCTCAGAGGGTGTGGGAAACTAGATGCAGATTCAAAGAAACCAAAGTAAATGAAAATAAGGTAATTATTAATTCCAGGAAATTAATTACAGAAAATCAGTGTTACACAAATAAGGAAATCTAATCATGATACTGTAAACCAAAAATAAAATTCTAAGGCCCCCCAACGAACTGAATGGACTTCCTCCTCAGCCAGGGCTCTTTTAAAATTTAACCTGAGATACCAGTTCAGACTAGGATGGGAAGTGGGGAATCTGGCATGCCTCATTATACCTCTCCAACATTAATATCAACACAGACTTGAAGTCTGATAAGAAATATTTCACAGCCTATTCTCTCTGAAGCCTGCTTCTGGAAGGCTTCCTCTGCATATAAGAACTTGGGTCCCCACAGTCCTTCATCTCAACCCAGACATTCTTTCCTACAGATCCCAGGTCTTCAGATAAACTCAACCAATTGTCATCCAGGAAATTTTTTAATCTACCTATAAGCTGGAGGCCCCTGCTTCAAGTTGTCCCGCTTTTCTGGACCAAACCAATGTACTTCTTAAATGTATTTGATTGAAGTCTCATGTCTCCCTAAAATGTATAAAACCAAACTGTACCCCAACCTCCTTGGGCACATGTTCTCAGGACCTCCTGAGGGCTGTGTCCCAGGCCACGGTCATTCATATTTGGCTCAGAATAAATCTCTTCAAATATTTTACAGAGTTTGACTCTTTTCATTGACAATACATATGTCATAAATTTAACATGACAATACCAAGAAAGGATTTGACCACAATTTGTAAAGTGAAGCTCCTCATTTGCCAAGCTAGGAAGTCACAAATAATACCTTAGTTTGATTAATTTTTATAGTATTTCTGAAAAATACAGAGATACATTGCAAAAGAAACAGCTAAAAAGAATTTAAAATTATTGCCCCTGCAAATCAGAGTCATAAGACTGCTGTATTTTTGTTATGAACTTTTTAATTCTATTTATGTTCTCTAATTTTAATAAAAATAATTTGATAGAAATAGAAATTATTCTTAATTTATTAGTGATGACTAATGACAAGAGCTAGCCTTCAGTGCCTCACATTAGCTGAGAGCTTTACACATGTTACATACACAACCCTTGACCACAACCTTCTAAGATTGTTGCTAACATCACCCCAATTTACAGAGGTAGATATTGAGGTTTAGCGTTAAGCAACCAGCCAAGCAGAGTCAAGATCCAAATTCTAATTCCACTCCAGAACCTGAGTTCTTATTCTATACTGCTTGTCCATTTTTGAAAACTTTATTTTTTGTGCCATCCTATTAGGCACTATCAGGAAGCCACATACCCAGTGCACGCATCTTACACATACACACACCGATGTCTTCTGGTAGAAAAAATAACCCCCAGGACAAAAGATAGCACAGTATTCTGTAATCTAAATAAACTCTGATTTGTTATTCCTTCTCCTCACCCCCAAACATTCTAAATTGGCTAGATGAAATCAACGCTTTTGTTATTCAAATGCAAAGTGGAACATTTTATAACATAAAACTCCACTGAGAAACAAAAGGAAACAGAAGTGTTTCTTGGCACCAAGCACCAAAACTTGGACAATGAAGCTCTGTTAAATGAGCAGATCCTAACAAAAATACATGTAGTTAAGAAGTAAAGGTTGGCTGGGCACAGTGGCTCACGCCTGTAATCCCAGCACTTTGGGAAGTTAGGGCGGGAGGATCATTTGAGCTCAGGAATTTGAGACCAGCGTGGGCAACAAAGTAAAACCTCGTCTCTACAAAAAATACAAAAACTTAGCCAGACATGGTGGTGCATGCCTGGAGACCCCCTCTACTCAGGAGACTGAGGATAGAGGATCCCTGGAACCTGGGAGGTTGAGGCTGCAGTGAGCCATGAGTACACCATTGCACTCCAGTCTGGGGGACACAGAGAGACACTGTTTCAAAAAGAAAAGAAAAAAGAAAAGAAATAAAAGTTAAGGTTTTCATAACTCTCACAGAAGAGCTTTCCACCTTTTTTTGGTGAGGCTGTGGGGAAAACAGCACTCATATCCATTGCTGGTGAGGGCAAAAATTGGTACAATACCTGTGGAGGTAATTTGGTACTATTTATTCAATCTCACTTCTGAGAATTTATCCTGTACATACAGAGCACACAAGAGAAGTGATAAATGCCTTGAAGTTATTTATTGCAGCATTGCTTTTAACAACTAAAAATTAACTGGGCATGCTGCCATGTGCCCATAATCCCAGCTATCTGGGAGGCTGAGACAGCAGGCTCACTTGTGACCAGGAGATCGAGACCAGTCTGGGCAACATAGTGAGACATAGACATAGTGAGACCATGTCTATAAATATATAGATAGATAAATAAATAAATACAATTAAAGATTAGGAACAACCCACTGCCCACCAAATGGGGGCAGGTTAAATACAAAGTGGAATACAATGGAACGCTATGCAGTGGTTAAAGGTAGTACTTATGGGCACAAACACTGTAGCCAGATTGCTTGAGGTTAAGTCTTGGGTTCTGGGCAGTGCCACACTGGAGGCAGCCACCCTGGATGACAAGATTCTACTGTGAAATTCTAAGGGATTTTGTCAATTGTTTGTTTAACACAACTATTTTTAAAAATTATATAAACATATAATTAAATGATATTAAAGACAAGGATAATAAATACGTAAAATTCATCACCTTCTAATTATTTTACTATTATCTATGCTGTTGTCTAGGCTATTTCAGTCTATTCTACCTGTATGATAGAAACATTATACAATGGTGTGTGACTGAGCACCTCCTCCCAACTCAGTGTTCAGGGTCAACAAGTTGATGACATGAAATCATCCACAGGGGTGTATTTACATCTCAGAATTGACAAATGCTACAAATCAAGGCTTTTGTTTACTTTTTACTTTTTGTATAAATGGGTTACCACTATGTTGCCCAGGCTGGTCTTGAACTCCTGGTCTCAAGTTATTCTCCTGCCTCAGCCTCCCCCAAGTGCTGCGATTACTAGTCTGGGCCACTGCACCAGCCTTGAGCCTTTTTTAGACAGCCATTTAAACATTTGTCAGCAGTCCACTGGTTACATGTGATTAGTACCTCCGTTTTGCTATCTGTAAACTCAGGATGATAACAGCACCTGTTTGATAGGGTTATTGAGAGGATTCATGGATTAACATATGTCAAGCACTTAAGAGAATGCTCAGACTGCAATACAGTCATGGTAAGGGGGAGTTATGCTTCAGATTGTTACTACCAGTACAGAAAGATCTCCAAGCTATATTGTTCCATTTTTTTAAAGTATGCATGAATGCTCTATTTTAGATACAAAAGAGGGACAATTGAAAATACATATCCACAGCACCTTCAATAAAGAAGCCTTGGAAGGATATGCAAAAAATGAATGAAAGGGGTTACCTGTTTCATCTTCGGTTGGAGGAATGGGAAGAGCTAGGTGGATGGAGGACTTGAGTAAGAGCAAGAGGTTTCATCGTACCTTGTATTTCCATTGAATTTTATGTTTTTGAGCTACAGAAACACATTCCCCATTCAAAACATTACAATAAAAACTGAACAATTTTCATTAATCCAATAAGCATTTCATCCTCATCTGATGTAATTAAAATGCTATGAAAGTCCCTCTGTGAGGGTCAGAAGGGGCACAGAGGAAGACGAGACCCTGGCTTCTGCTCTGCAGGAGTGCATGCTCCACTTGGAGAGGCAGAGCACACAGAGAACACAAGGGAGAACAGCTTGGAGGGAGGGGTGCGAGTCTGACTGCAGATGCACAAACACCATGGGGCTTTGCACCTCCATCATGCAGATATGACGCGGTTCTTAAGAGGTACTTACCCTGTTGTATAAGGGATGTTTATGCCCCCTAGATTAATGCTTTCACATCCAACAATAAATAGGGTTGAAAAACACAGTAAAGACACACCACTGCAGATCATTGCTAGTTTTGCAGATTCTCTGGCACCAAGTTTCAATTTTTTGATAATGTAGCCTCCGAGGACAATACCAACACCAGCACTGGGAACGATAATAACCCCTGGGGAGAAGAGAAGGAGAGGATTAATTTGAACTCATGTACACTATTATTCATCTTATCTATTCTGTCTCTTGCTCAGTAGTACTAAGGTAAAGAATCAAAAACTACTGTAATCAATACATCTTCATTGTGTTTGATTTTATAGTATAATAATATTTTCAACACATACAATCAACAATGGACTCACATCCAGATTTCAATAAAAACTTTTATACAGCAATAAAATAAAGACAAGCAACCCATTACAAAAGTGAGTAAAACTTGAGTAAGTTCTTCACCAAAGACAAAATCCAGACAAACAATAAACACGTGAAAGGGGGTCAACCTCATTACACAGAAGGAAATACAGATGATGCATCTAACATAGAAATGATAAATACTCAGGCGACAGGTACCCTCAATACCCCAATTTGATCATTACACATTCTATGCATGTCACGACATTCCATGTGTACCTCATAAATATGTATGAATGTAATGTATAAAATAATTTTTTTAATTTGAAAACCACAGTGAAATACCACTACACACCAATCATGTTGGTGAAAATTGTAAAGTCTAAAAATACCACACGTTAAAGATGTAACGTAATGGGAACTCTCAACACATTGGCAGGATGTAAATCTCAACACTCACTTTGAAAAACAGTTTGGCATTATCTGGTAGAGTTGAAGATATACACACCCTGTGGCAATCAAATCCATTCTTGGATCTATACCCTGAAAAAACTTGTGCTCGTGGGTACCAGAAGAAATGGACAAGATATTTGAAGCACTGTAATAGTAAAAAAACTGGAAATAAACCAAATGTCCATTAATAAATATATCATGTATAGTATATCTATATAAAGGAGTGCCTCTATACACTCATTAAATGGAAAGAAATGTAGCTACACACAGCTTTGTATGATGAATTATACAAAGACAATGATGAACAGAAGGAACCAAATGCAACAGAACGCACATGACATGACTACGTTGGTATGAAGTTCAACAACTTGTAAAACTAAACAGTATTGTCTGGGAATGCACAAACAGGTAGTACAACTATGAAGAAAAACCAGGAGTAATTAACACAAAAGCCAAGATAGCACAGGGATTCATGGTATCAGGAAGGGATGAAGGAGGTTCCTCTGGTGCTGAAAATACTTCATGCCATGACCTGGGTAATAGTTACTGCTGTAGTCTGAATGTCTATGTCCCCAAAAAGTTCACATGATGAAATCCTAATCCCCAAGGTGATTAGGAGGTGGGACCTTTGGAAGGTGATTAGGCCACAAGAGTGGGAGGCCTGATGAATGGGATTCGTGCCATTATAAAAGAGGCCTGAAAGAGCTACCACACCTTTCCATGTGAAGTTACATGGTGGGAGGTCACATGTGAGAAGACAGCCTTCTATGAGAAATTGGGCCCTCCTTCACCACACAGGGCCAGGGCCTTGTTGTTGGACTTCCCAACCTCCAGAACTGTGAGAAACAAATTTCTGTTGTTTAGCATCCACCCAGTCTATGGTAATTTTGTTACAGCTACCTGAATGAACTAAGACAGTTACACTGTGTTCACTTTATAATTATTTCTAAATTATGTTTAATGTACTTATGGGTAAGTTATTTTTCACTGTGAAAAAATAAAGAAATTGGCCAGATGCAGTGGCTCACACCTGTAATCCCAGCACTTTGGGAGGCCAAGGCTGGCAGATCAGTTGAGGTCAGGAGTTTGAGACCAGCCTGGCTAACATGGCAAAACCATGTCTCTATTAGAAATACAAAAATTAGCCAGGGTTGGTGGCGCACGCCTGTAATCCCAGCTACTCAGGAGGCTGAGACAGGAGAATTGCTTGATTGAACCCTGGAGGCAGAGGTTGCAGTAAGCCAAGATCGTGCCGCTGCATTCCAGCCTGGGTGACAGAGTGAGACTCTATCTCAAAAATAAATAAATAAAATGAAGAAATCATCAAGGTGCCTGCCTCCAAGAACCTTACAATCTAAAAGAGAAACAAACAACTTAATAGAAAGTAGAATACAATAAAATAATTATACGAAGTGCAGGGAGAGAGTCTTCCCTGAATGAAATCCAAGAGGATTTCACACAAGGGGCAGTATTTGAGTTGACTTTCAATAGATGAGACAGAATCTTCCCAAAGGACCAGCACAGAGACTATCCTAAAGAAAATATCTGCACAAAGAAAATACATGCACAGAGGCATGAAATAATGAAATTGAGGGTTCAATGCAATACAAAATATTGAGTATGGAAAAGAAGCAGCTGGGAGATGGAAAGACCTGGAGAAGAGAGTTAGGGAAAACGGAGACCATGAAAGACCATGGAAAGGAGCTCAGGTTGTATTTCTGATAATGGAGGCCGCTGAAGAATTCTGAGCTGCGGTTGACAGGATGGAAGCTGTATATTACAAAGATCAATCTTGAAACGACATGCAAGACAGCTTAGATGGGGTCAAAACTCAAGTCACAGAAGTGGTCAGGGGGATGACTGCAAAGGTCCTTGTGAGCCACAGTAGGGCCCTACAAAGATGGCCCAATAAATTAGATAAGGACAGGGAGAGAGGAAGGATGACTGCATGACACCCGATGAAGGAAGAAATCTGGAATATGAGGAGGAAATGTGTGAGCAGAGCAGCTCAATGGCCCCCATTGTAGACTTGATTGTAAAGGGCCTGAGGAACAATCAGGTGAAATGCCTCACCCAGTGTGTCTGTGGGCTGCAAGATCAACAAAGAGCTGACTGGGGGATTTATAGCCAGGAGATGAATTCATGGCATAAATGAGATGCTCCAACAAGATGGTGCAGAGTAAGAAAACAAAAAGGTCAAAACTAACATCCAACATCCAGAAGAGTGCCAATATTAATGCGGTATCATAAAAAGGTGAGCCCACATAGCAAGTTGAAAATGGACAGCCACAGAGGCTGGAGGAAATGTGGGAAACAAAAATGTCAGAAGCCAGAAAAACTTGGATTTTGGATTCAGAAAGACTGGAGTTCAAATCCTCACTCCATTTTTTGTAGCCATGTAATCATGCAGGCTTCCTAAACCTTCTAACTCAGGATTTTTTGCCTTGTCATGGAGATGTATTCCTTTTACCTTAGCCTTAGAATGAAGATTACAGGAACTATCTATAAGTAGACACAGTACATAGTATTTGGTACATAATATAAATTGTAGCTATTAATTAGCCAGGCAAGATGGTGGGTGCCTGTAATCCCAGCTACTTGGGAAGCTGAGGCAGGAGAATGGCTTGAACCCAGGAGACAGAGGTTGCAGTGAGCCAAGATGTGCCATTGCACTCCAGACTGGGCAACAAGGTGAGACTCTGTTTCCAAAAAAAAAAAAAAAATTGTAGTTATTACCATTACAACTGTGCCATAGAAAACCAAGGAGAGAGAACAGGCATGGTGGCTCATGCCTATAATCCCAACACTTTGGAAGGGTGAGGCAGGCAGATGATTTGAGGTCAGGAGTTCTAGACCAGCCTGACCAACATGAAGAAACCCCGTCCTACTAAAAATACAAAAATCAGTGGGGCTTGGTGGTGCATGCCTGTAATCTCAGTTACTCAGGAGGCTGAGGCAGGAGAATTATTGCTTGATCCCAAAAGGCAGAGGTTGCAGTGAGCTGAGACTGCACCATGGCACTCCAGCCTGGGTGACAGAGAGAGACTCCATCGCAAAAAAAAACAAAAGAAAAAAGAAAAGAAAAGAAAACCAAGAAACCAAGGAAAGAGTTTCAAGGAGAAAATAGACAACAGTATCAAGTGCATTAGAGAAGTCCAGTAAGAAAGACTGAAGTGAGACAATGTGTCACTGGACCTCTGACAAGAGCAATTTTTTTTTTTTTTTTTTTTTGAGACAGAGTCTCGCTCTGTCGCCCAGGCTGGAGTGCAGTGGCGCAATCTCGGCTCACTGCAAGCTCCGCCTCCCGGGTTCACGCCATTCTCCTGCCTCAGCCTCCCGAGTAGCTGGGACTACAGGCGCCCGCCACTGCGCCCAGCTAATTTTTTTCTATTTTTTAGTAGAGACGGGGTTTCACCATGGTCTCGATCTCCTGACCTTGTTATCCGCCCGCCTCGGCCTCCCAAAGTGCTGGGATTACAGGCGTGAGCCACCGCGCCCGGCCCGACAAGAGCAATTTTAAGAGTGTCACGCAAGTGGAAACCAGACTGTGATGGGCTGAGTAGTCAGTCATGAGGCCCTAGAGTTTGAGAAATCCAGTCAGCTCTTTCTAGAACTTTGCATGTAAAAGGAAGAATGGATATGGGTCTAGAATTAGACTGGGACCAAGGTAGGGTTGGGGTTTGGAGGGTTGTATCTGTTTGCTAGGATGCAGAGAGGACTTAAGCATATTTATATACTGAGGAAAATAAACTAAAAAGAGAATGAATGGTTGAATGTGGAGGGTAAAGTTCAGCTAATGACAATGCAAGATCCTTGAGAAGTCAGGATAATATAGAATTAATAGCAGAGATAATCAACTTAGCCATGAATGGGGGAGAGAGACTCCCTCCTCTGGGCTACAACAGGGGATAAATCTGTGGATGAGTAGTAGCTTTACAATGTTAGTTTTTCTGTTTTATTTTTCCATTATTTTGTAAACATAATGTAATACATATTTTAACAAAACAGTTGAAAAACATAGAAAAGTAGGAAGGAAAATAGCAAAGTAGGAAGGAACAAAAATCCACTGATTGCATTCTGGCATATTTCATTGCAGACGTTTTTCCTCCTAGAATTCATAACATGCTGCAGTTTCATTTTTTATAGCTTTGATTTTTGTTGGGTTTTTTTTTTTTTTCTGTATGATTGAAAACAAAACCACCTCTTAGAAGGAAGAGATATTGAGAACTTTAAATGTGGCCAAGGGTTGGAAAAACCATGGTAGGAAACTGAAGGCAGCACTACTAAGAATATGTAAAAGACAGTACTACAGATCCAGACTATATTGGACACCAGAAGTCTGCAGCTGCATTCACGTGCATGGTTTCGTGC